GAAACCCAAGGGTATAGCCTGGAGGCAGCAACAATGAGGGGGGAAATTACATGGACTCTTTCCCCCACAAAGGCCAATCTACTGTCCACTTTAAAAACCAGATTCTATATATTGAAATTTGATAATGTATATCATTAACATTAGCATATATTGTTACTAATAATAAATATTTATTGTTGTTAGTGCCATCAAGTGGATTCTGACTCCTAGGGACCCTGTGTACAGCTAAGAGAACCCTGCCTGGTATTTTGCACCATCCTCTCACCTTCCAGTACTATATCAGACAATGCTCTGCTGCTATTCACAGGGTTTTCATGGCCCAGTTTTTCGGAAGTGCGTGGCCAGGTACTTCTTCCCAGTCTGTCTTAGTCTGGAAGCTCCACTGAAACCTGTCCACCATGGGTGACCCTGCTGGTATTTAGAATACTGGTGCATAGCTTTCAGCATCACAGCAACACACAGCCACCACAGTATAACAACCGACAGACCGGCGGTGTGGTTCCCTGACCAGGAAACGAACACGGGCCACAGTGGTAAGAGTGCCCAATCTTAACCACCAGCCCACCAGGGCTGGCTAAAACATTTATTGAGCACCAACTATTTCCTTAGAATACAAGGAGGGATAAAACCTCGACCTCAAGGAAACTTTAAATTAGTTTGAAATTCAGCATATAAATCCAGCAAGATAACTAACAATACAAGGTAACATTTACTAAATGTCAAATGTAAACCATGTCAAAGGCACACAGTAAATTCTACAGGAGTCCAGTGTGTGCTGTGGCTTTCCCTTCTCTGTTCCACCAGGGCACCATCTACAGACCTCTCTGAGCACCTACACAGGTCTGTGAGTGTATGGCCCTTCCATATTTACATGGGTTCTTTGTCTCCTCCACTGGTCTATAAGCTCTTCCAGGACAGGAACCTTGATTTTTTTCATCCTTGGATTTCAATCACCTGGCCAGGTACCCGGCACTAACAGCATTAAATATTTAATTAATTTAATAATCAGTTTATTTAATTGATTTAATAATAAATAAGACTGTGGAATGTGAGCTGAGCTTTTAACAAAGGGCAAGACTTAGATAAGAAGAGAAATGAAGGTTGGGCTTTCCAAGAACGGGCAAGGGAACCAACCAGGTGACTGAAAGCTCCAGGCAGGTAAAGACACCTTGTGGTCAGAGGCCCCAAAGGAATAATCAAAAGCCACTGCTGGTATCACCATTAGTGGAGAGTGTCAGGTCTTCAGAGCTGGTCTTCATTCACCCAGCCTTTTAAACTCTAACACAAGCTTACATTAATTGTCCTACATCTTTGCTGCTTTAATCTCAAAATCATTTCCTGGATTCTTAATTCCTGATCTATTTTTCCCTTGTCCCTTTTTCTGTTGATCAAATTAGGGGAGAAAAAAGAAAGGAACCCAGACAAAGAATCTTAATTTAACATTGAATTGATACTTTATGCAAACACACACAAAGTGTGGGGTGCCAGTGGGTAAAAATAGCCTTGGTATCCAGAGTTCCCCACCACCAAATTGGAAATTCCTTAAAGTCAGGACACAGTTTCTTTCTCAGCTTTCACAGCTCCTAGGATATGACCGAGCATCACACAAATTAATAACATCAACATTATTGCATCCATCCTGGTAGCTCAGTCAATCTTGAAAACTTGGAAGGCTATGGTTACTTTAAAGACAGTTCCTGTCACTCTCCACAACCAAAACAAAGTGGAGAGGGCATGAGCAGATAATTTAAACAAAAAATAAAACAAAACACTCATCTTCCGTTCCTTGATTCCCCCAAATGGGAAAGAAAAGTTCTTCCCTAATTCATCCTGGGTAAGTGAAGCTTTATATCTGAATAATCCTACTAATTGGCACAGCTCCATATCTGCTAGACAAACAGGGACTCATTATTTTAGAAATGCAACTTTCAACAAACTCATCTGTGAGGCACCTGTGGATGCCCTAAGTCATCATCCATTTCTTCTATTCTGCATCTGAATTGCTGTGCTCTATTTGTTTCTAATTAAATTTTACATTTTACAACTTTAGGAGGATGTCAGACTAGTACAAGTCCCTGGAAACTAAAACCATAGACTTGTCCTCAGTATAGCCACAATTGCACACAGGCTTCCCCCCAGAGTTAACAGAACAGATAAACGGAAGAGTCAAATGAAAAATAATAAAAGAGTTCTTCAGTCATGTAGTAGAATGCTCAAAGGATATTTCAGTTTTTTGCAAATAATAAAATACTTGACATGGGGACACCCAGGATCCAAAGTCATTCTCAGAAGTGCAGTCAATTCAGAAATTATCAACATAAGTGTGAAATGTTAAGACAGTGGGAAAAAGATTCAGTGGCTTTCAGTGGCATATGAAGAACTATTAGGTAATCCGAAGTCCACATTTTATCATTTTTAGCATATCGCAGGCCAATAAAAAGTCACCTTTTAATGGGACAGGAGCAAACATTTATCAAGGACTGTGCTCTTATCCTTGGATTGTCCTCCAGGTCTGGCTCTACCTTTCTCTTCCGTGTTCTGTGCCCCGGGAGGAGCCCCCACAGACCGCATCACCCAGGCACCCCAGGCTAGCCAGCCTTGGGTGGGGTCTGACCGCCAGGGCCACTGGCAAGAGATGGAGGTCTGTGGGGTGCAGAGGAGAAGGGCTGAGGTTCTCTCTGCTCCCCCACCCCCTGCATCCTGCCAGAGGGTGGGTGCAGCTCTCACGGGCCACAGCAACAAGACTTCCTCCCCTTTCCCCTTCAGCGCCCAGGTCTTGGTACCTGAACATCTTTGTCAGTTCCCTTAATGCTGCCCACACCCCTCGAAGTAATTCATTCAAGTTTCTTCATTACAGCCCAGTGAGTTGAATTCTGTTTCCTGCCAGGAATCTGTCTGATAGAAGGACCTTCCTGATGTAGGGCATTTTATATCTATATAAATTTCTCCACTCCAACATGTAGGTCTTATTGCCATCTCTCATTTTACACATGGGGTCATGAGGCTCAGAGAGAGTAGAGTATCAGCCAGCGGTGACAGAAGTGGTCACAAAGGAGGTTTGCTGGCAGAGCAGGAATTACACCCAAGTCAGTCTGACATCTAAGACCTTAAAAGGCCCTTGAAAGTGTGAAGGAGAAAAACACATCAAGCTTCCAAACTCTCAAGCCACAATTTAGCCTCAAACCACATTATTTATGATTTGGGACTTTTCCCTGGGCCTAAAATAAGCTGTCTGGGGTATTGCCCTATAAGTGCTTCTTCCACCAAGAGTCATTCAGATTTGACCCTGCTGGAGGGCGGTGGAGCTGTCCTACGATCTAAGAGACCACAGGTGCTCTTTCCTTGCCCATCGCCCACATTTCTCCTTCAGCCCAGAAATCATTCCCTCTCAGCCTTAAACATCCCTAAGGCTTTTTTGCTTTTTTTTATAAAGTAAAAACAGAGTTCCTTTGACAGAAATCCAGATTTCTGAATTGGATGGATGGGGCGGATGCAGTTAAAAAGTGCTTAATAACATCATACTAGCACCTCCCAGTCACAACTCGCCAGGGTCTCAACTATCTATCTCTTTCCATTCAAAAAAACCTCCCTGGATTCCTCTCTCTAGCTGTGCAGAATAGTTTAAAACAGAAAAAGCAATTAAAATAAATTCTGAAGGCAGTGGAGGGGTGAGTACAAAACCAACTCCCCTAAGGAAATTCAGCTATGAGTTATATTAGTTTCAGGGCTAAAGAATTTGCTATTATTTCTGCCTTTGCCTAGGTTCCTGGGTCTCTCCTACCCTCATTACAAACGAAGAGTAATGTACAAAACTACGAGTTCACATCTGATACCTCTCCCAATTTCTTGACTTTCTGGATTTTGCAACTGATGAGAAGGCAATGGTCAGATCAGGTGGAATTACAAATTGTATCCTCAGAGCGCGCCAGGTAGAAGGGTGGCTCGGTATGTGAGCCACAGTATAACACATCAACAGTGTGTGAGTAAGGCAAACGGCCAGGTCTCACTTCCTCATTGCTGAGGGAATGTGAGTGGAAAGGGCAGCAGGTATGCTCTTGTTTGAAGAGAAGCAGAATTCAAAAAAAAAAAAAAAAGATCACTGATGAGAGGCAGGGGAAGAAAACTGGGCAAAAACTCAGCATGAAACAGTCAGGAGTGCGGTGACCCCTCCTGCAGCATGCTCTACCCAATTCTATTTAAATCGACATGTGTTTATTGACTCACTACTAAATACCAGGCAGATCTAGGCCGCAGCACCTCAAGAGACAAGAAAACGGACTAAGACAGCCCCAACCCTCAGGACAATTTCTTACCTGGCATTATGGTTCTCTGTTGCCATTTTCAGTTTTAACGGTAGCAGACAATTCCTGGCCAGCATTCCTCCCACAAATCTGTCCTACCCAGGAGCCTGGCACCTCAAGGATAAACTGGCTGAATAAACTAAGGCCCTCGGAAAACCGCAGTGTCCAGTGTCCCTCCGCCCTTTCCGACGGACATCACACATGGTATAAAATAACTGTCACCCTGATTTGACAAGTCTCACCGCTGAAGTCCAAAACCCAGGTCTCATTCAAAAGCTATAGCCTACGGTCTATAGATTAATCAGGCTTATTTTTTAAGTAGGGTCATCTAAACTAAAAATAATACAGACTTGACTACACTGATGGAAGAAACACTTGATTCATTTATCAGAATTCTCTCGAACTTGGTTACAGGAAACGAGGTAACCCAAAACTTAAAAAAAAGAAAAAGAAAAAAGTTCATTCGAACCTGCCATGCAGGGTATACCAATTTTTTTCACACTTACAGGAGAAAAACATCAACACAAAAAAGAAAAGAAAAAGTCCACCTTTTGGTCTAGTTTGTAGCAGAAAAGCCTGCTACGGGGGACAGGGACGGGCACGGAGGTAGATGACATTTCCCCCCAGGCTTCACGCCGCACTGGCCGGGAAGAGGGCTCCTGCGCTCACGCGGAGCCGCGGCCAGGCCCCGGCAGTTACCTGGTCCAGCGGGATGCCCAGGAGCTCGCTGAGCGGGCGCAGACAGGTGGAGCCCATGGTGCGGTAGGAGAGGCTGGACGGCGGCTCTGCTGCCATCCTGCATCTTCGGGAGGCGGCTGCCCCGGCTCCAGCCCGCGCCGCCCCGCTCGGCGTCCTCCCCACCGAGTGCTCCGGGGGGCTGCCCCGAGGGGCGCGCGGCCGTCCCGCTCGCGGGGACCGAGCGGCGAGGCCGGGGGACGCGAACCGGCGCAAACTCGCGGGGCGCAAACTTGGCGTTGGCGCTGCGGCCACGGGCCCCGTGGGAGGGCCGCGGCCCAGCGCGCTCCGCTTCCCGCTCCCCTCCTCTCGGCGCTCATTGGCCCGGCCGCCCGGGACGGCCGAGGAAGGGAGGGAGGGAGGAAAAGCGGCGACGCGGAGCCCGGCCCCCGAGCGCCACCCGGCCCGCCCAGCCCGCTCTGAACCCAGGCCGACCTGGAGAGGGAAAGCGACGCCAGGGGCGCGGCCGCCTCGCCCTGCAGATTGTGGCGCGCAGCCCCGGGGGGCGGGAGGCGCCTTTCCTCTCCTTCTCCCGAGCTCGCCGTCCTATCTCCCCGCCGCAAGAAACGACCGCCACCCGGGTCACCCAGGCGGGCGCCTTTCACTAGAGAGCACCCGCCCCACCCTGTTTTGCTTTCGCCGCGATCGCGGCTCCCCCTCCCTTTCCCCACGCCGGCTAAGATTTCCTGCGCTTTCCTTTCACGCTTTCTCCCTGGCAGTCCTTGCTGCAAAGGGTTAATCTACCAGTGGCTGGAAGCTCGAGCAGCCCCCGGTGCTGGTAGCCAGCGCCCTTTGACTCCCTCTCTCTCTTTACGTTCCTCTGGGCAAGACAGTTTCCTACACCCTGATCTGCTCGCTCTGTGTCACAGAAGCAAATAGAGGAGACTGCTAGTTTCTAATCATTTGGATCCGTCCCTTTGGATAGAGAGTTATTTTACCGCCGTGAGAAAGGGTGTTACTATTACATTATGTGCAGGCACGGGTTCTAAAAAGGGATACCTGCCCCTTTACTTCTCTGTCCTCAGACGCCCAAGTGTATCACTGGCACTTGGAAAACTTTTTCAGTTGATTTATAGGCTTTGAGAATCATGAAAGTCTTGCAGATCCTTTCCAGGAATTGCTGTATGCTAGCTGATGAAGAGTGCTTTCAGGAAAGCCGTGCTGTGAACTGATGGGTAGAAAACCAAAGAAAAGTGAGCTCATGTGAACCCCCAGGCCGCACCTAGAAACCAAGCCCAAAGCTTTTGCATCAGCAGTTTGCCTGGGAGCTGTTACTGAGCCAAGGACTAGTTGGTGGAGAATCCAGCTAAACAGGCAGGCAGTGACTTTGGGGCAGACCTAAAGTTGTTACCGCACAAAGAGCACAATTGCCCCGGCCGCCGCCCCCT